AAAAAAAAAAAAAAAAATTTAAGAACCGGTATCAGCCTGCATTATTTATTAATTGTTTAGGCTGGTCACCATTTATATATCTTCCCTCTCGACTATAACGTATAAGGGAAAGCCAAGGTTTCAGTCACAGTTAGCTATCGTTTAACGCTACAGTAAATTAAAATGAGACCATTAGGTGAGTGCAAATTTCTTTTGATCTGTCATAATAATACCATTATAATAATAACTGAGCTTTTATTTTGAGGTAACTTAAACATTTTCAATTTCATATCAACACTTTTTAGCTGTTATTTCAAATTAAACTTTAATTTAGTTCAGATAATTTTTAATTTTTATTAAACTTAATTTTAAATTTTAAATTAAACTGATTAAATTTTAATTTAATTATTTTCTAATTCAACGGGTTACTTATCCGTTGAAGTAGATGTAAAAATGTAATAAATATTTTCCAGCAAAACTGAGTTTCATGTGTCATAATGTCTTCCATCATTTGCAAGATCTTAAGGAAACTAATATATATTAAATAATTCGTGTAGAACTGTGCATCTACTGGCCGATATAAATGTTGAGCAAAGGGAGCCGAAGAACAACAAGTATTCAGCATTAGAAGTTTATCTGAGTTTAATTCGGAGTCGAACTATCTGCAAATAAGTTTTGTTTTTAGGAAGTAATTGCTAAATTTCGGGTCTCATATTTCAACGAAAATATCCATTTCGACCGCTCCCGAAACCATTTGAACTATGTTTTTGCGTGATATCTGTGTTTGCGGACAGAATAAAGGACTGTTTTTGCCAAAACGGATTGCATAATGAATTTAATATGGATTTAGAAAAGATCTTTCCTTGACGTCTGTACGTGCATATGAATGTATCTCGCATAACTCGAACGAGAAGCCGTAGAACATTGAAATTTTGTATTATGAGATTGCTATAACATGTACTTGTGCACCTCCCTTTTTCGTTGCAATCGGCTGCCTCAATCGTAAGTAAATATATATGTAATGATTTTGAATGCGTAATCGAAGCCTCGAACTCTCAATAGCTTTCAATATCCGTCATGGCTGTGATTAAGGAATACAGATGAAGTTAACGACTTGGATTTCTTTAACCCTTTAACTGTCGAGTTATTTTGATGATTTGGGTACACAAATTGTCAAATTTTTTTATTGCAAATATCAAATGTTTAGTACAAAATTAAATATACTTAAGTAGTTAAAAATGATATTTTGAAGTACAGGTAAAATTTTAAGTTTTGTAGCCACTGGTATTTGCTTGAAGCGGCTGCCACTCCTCAACATGGCAGTTGAAAGTCGCTTCTAGTGAAGCCGTCTTTTCAAAAATGAAAAAAAATTAATTATTTTCTAAAAATCACTCAATGAAAAAAATAATAAAGGATACCTATTAGTAGTTCGTAATTCAGTCTTGGTGTAAACTTGAAACACTTTTCCAAGCACAAACCAACTCCAGAATCAATACACCAGATCGTATTTTCCTTCTTATCTTTTTCCCATTTTATACTTTTTCGAACAACACACTTTGCCACTGTCTGAGGCTCACGTTTCACAGGAGTAGGAGGAGGATAGGAAATAAAATGTCGTCATAGACGGGCAGGTTATCTTTGTAAGGGGGTCTGCCATCTTTCTTTGTCAGAGCTGCATCATCATATTTATGTAAAAGCTCTTCTACAACTGATTTCGAAAATATAAACATGTAATACGTTTCCCAATGTTTAGATAGGTAAGGGTCAAAGTCTGGTCTAGTAAATGTAAACATATCTTTTTATAATATTTTTTCTGACGTTTGGATTGTTGGATGGAAGCATATTCCTGATCACAGCGATATACACCACCCTAGTTAGACTGTAGTCCGAAACATCTTCGGGCTTGAGTATATCTTCATTTTTTATTTTTGGGCTGACCATGAAGTATCATGATATCCTCATCAGACACCATCCTTAAGATTCGGTCGAAGAATCTAAATCATCTATAACGTTTCAAAGAGGGACGCCATTTTCAACCAAAAAGAGGCCCGTGTCTCTTTGAACTTTAACCTCTAACCTTTGAAATCTTCAGTAAAGTGCTGTCACTATGAACGAGCGCACATAAACTTTTCCGAGATACAGTCGGGTTGACAAAAATGAAGTCGAAATAAACGTCTCCCGATATATATTCGGTATAACATACGAGGATCAAAAAAAACCCTGGTATACTCGGGCGACATTTTCGAACACCAGTGCTGTGCCCGAGATATATCGGGCATGACAGTTAAAAGGTTAAATCACTAATCTTTATTCTCACACATATCCAATTAATTTTCCAGACACTTATTCATTCATAATTAAATATGATAAATTTCTATGTGCATTTGTTTTTTAATCCTAAGCCATAGGCATTTAAGAAGCGCGAGAGTGATAGAGCAGCAGTTAGGGAAGGGAAAAATAACGACGCAAGTAACTCGCTAGCGGTATTTATACTAAGTGTGAGGTATAAGTAGAGCTAATTTGTGATTGGTTAATCTGAAGTTGTTATATAACATAGAAGATTCTCGAATTTCGAAGAACAGATGAATTTAGGGGAAGATCACCAAATCTAAAATGTTAATTTTGATATCGCCAATTACTTTTAAAGCAGCAATTGTAATTTGTTATATCTTACATATATACATATTCCTATTTTGTTACCTAGTTCGGTGAATTAATTATTTTATTCTTTTATGTTGTTAAATTGTGCATAAGTGGTGAGTTAAGCCTAACGAATCCGCCATTTATTTATATTTTAAACTCTTATAGAATAGGGAATTAAATAAGTTTTTAGCGTATTTTGCCCAGCTGGACCAAATTTTAACTTTAAATTTGTGTAAACCGAAAATTCCTCTTCCTGCTCGTTCGCTGAATTACTTATTTTCGAGTACAAACTCTTATTTTAATTATAAACAATTTTTTAAACTATTTTTAACTGTATTTGTTGTTTTATGTTTTCTGCATTGTACAATTTGTAATGAAAATGTTCTGAGTGTTTATGTATTTTTACCATGCCGCGAAGTGAGAACTGAATTGATTGAATGAGAAATATAATGAAATTCAAGGAAATAAGTTTAAATGAAATACAGCAAAAAATGTTGGATAACTTAATAGGGCATACATGGAAGTCATCAGATTTTTTTATTTGTTATCGAGTTTTGCAACTAATGAGATTCTTCGGAAGTCCTTCTCGAAGGGTAACTCTCTTAAGACAAATGGTCGTATTCTTTATAATTACATCTCTGCATGACCATTCCTTTGATTGCATGACCAAAAATCTCACCTATGTACTAGCAGATCCCATATTATCCAAATTTGAAACATTGCATTACAATTTACAGTATTTCAAGAAAGCAATTGCGGAAAAGATTCCGTTTTCTAGACGAACCATTGTATCTGTCTGTTTTGTATTCACCGTACACGTGCTCGATACATGCACATCTGGCGATGTGGTTAACTTAGCCTCAGCCGAATATTTGTCTGTGGCATGTGCTGTATTTTGCATTTATAAGAAATATCTGTTCTACCATCACAACCGATTTCCATTTAGTAATTCCTAAGATGCAGCAGGCTTTGCATTCACTAATGATTTGGTTTGGTTTATTTGGTTATGGCAAATCTCTAACAGGGCTATTTGCCTATGGGAAGAGATGCCCTTATGGAGGACTTTCTAAGGAAAACTGGATCGTATACACGTTACACGTGGGAAAAGCCACGAAAATGGCCTTGGAGCCAGCCCGTTCGCCGGGATCCGAAACCCAGAGACCAGCGACTTTATCACCCGGTTGCTAGTTGGCTTTAACCCTTTCCGGCACGCTACCTTTTAAAGTCGGAGTTTTGATGGAAAAAAAGGTAGGCAGTCTAATTAGGCCTAGAGGAGTACACAAAAAATTTATGAGATGCAATTATCGTTTATTTTGTGGAGGGACACTTATTGATAGAGCTTTCGAAAGAGTCTGAACGAGATTGTTGTCAATGAACTCACCATGAGATGCGGGGAGAAACAAAGAATACAGACTCTCAATTGTCCCTAGATTATCGGTGAGCCGGTCTGTCCACATCTATCGTTGCCGTTTGATTTTAGGCAAGATTTCAAGGTAAAAAGTTTAAAAACTATAGAATAAGAGATTACATATAGCGAAAATAATACATAGAAATTTATTTGCAAACATTCTTTTATCCTAAAAAAAATCTGGAAAATTTCTTGAAAAATGAGGTCCTTAAAAAACTAAATATGGCTAAATATATAGACTGGTATGTGTTGAGCTGCCATCTACTATAAATAAAGAAGGTTCAGAGTAACCTATAAATCCTTTTTCATTCAATTCTTATGTACGTACAGAAGAAAATTTTTAGGTGTGTCCAGACCGGACACACTGTGCCGCAAAGGGTTAACTAATTGAATGCTGTTCTTACCATATATTGCCACCTAACCTTCTATTTGCCACTTAGTTACTAGATGTACATTATGGAGTACGAATTTAAAGAGCTTCTTTTACGTCCAGATATGAACTTTTTTACTGCTTTTGTTACTGTACTATAAACTTTCAAAGGTCCCAAAAAGAATTGTAAAGCACCCTGTATATTTATTACTATAAAAACTACAGTAATATTTTCAAATAAATGTTAGCATGAAATAAATGTTAGTTTCAAATAAATAGCACGTTCAAAATTAATTTCCTCAACGAAGTAAGGGAAGTATTGTAATAACAAAAACGTTTTGGGTGTCATATTTCAACGAAAATATCCGTTTTGACCACTCTCTAATCCATTTGAACGATGTTATTGCTTGATATCTGTACGTACAAATAGAACAAAGGATATATTTTTCCAAAACGGATTTTGTGGATTAAAATGGATTCAGAAAAGATTTTTTCATGACTTCTGTACGTACGTATGTATTTATCTCGCATAACTCAGAAATGAGTAGTCACCGAATGTTGAAATTTTGTATATGGGACCGCTATAACATGGAGTTGTGCACCTCCCTTTTTGGTTGCAATCGACCGCATTAAAAGCATCTCAGTTTTTTTATTCTTATATGTTGGTAAATTGTGCATTTTTTGCTTTAAGAGTGATTGAATTATGTTGTTCTTATGTTCCGGTTAAGGATTTTATGCCTTTATTTAATCTGCATGCAATATTTCTAGAATTATCAACAAATTTAAAGTGCCGAGTTAAGGGGACTCATGCACCTTAAACCCATAGTTCTCACTATGGTGTGAATAATTGGGATAACATTTATTCTTAACGTTTTAGCAGCTGAGTACATATATGCTGCTTTCTGAAATAATCAGAAAGTTTGTGTTTCCGCAAAATATTATAATTAATCCGCTTTGTGACAAAAGTTTTCGTCAGTTTCCACCTTCGCGCGCAGTTAAACATTTTTGCATAATTTATTCCATATTTAAATATATAGTTTGGAAACTACTGTGAACCAAAATTTGAAAAATTTCATTTAAATTTTTATTTATTTGAGTTGAGTTTATAAAACGTATTTTATTAAAAAATTGTAATCTTTTCGTGCATAACTTTTTTTAATATTAAAATATTCATCAGATTTTGGGTTGAGATAGAAAATAGTGCCCATATAAAGAATTTCATCCAATTTCAAGTATGTACCATTAGCCATTTTTAAAATATCATGCGTGCAAGGTGGAAACATGACAAAAAGTTTTATCACAAAACAGATAAATTGAAAAATATTTGTGGCAACACAAACTTTCTGGTTACTACTTCCCAAAGCAGCTATATTATGTAGTCAGCTGGGAAAAGTTGGAAGTAATTGCTTTTAAAATAAATAAAATTCCCAATTCTTGCAACAGTCACATATTCGAAGACCATAAGGGGTTTAAGATGTATGAGCATCTTAACGAGGCCGCAAATTGCTTACATTTTGAAACCCTTTTATTAGAATAGTGAATTAAGTCAGTTGGTGCACCAAATTCAATGTCTTTTTGACAAGTGGTACCAAAAGTAAACTTTCAGTTTTGTTCACAGAAAAATCTCTCTTCTTGCCTGCTGGCCGAATTGCTTGTTTCTGCGTAGAAACTCTAATTTTAATTGTAAAAAAAAAAATTTTTTTTAACTCTATTTACTGTTTTATGTTTTTCTGTATTTTAGAATTTTTAGTGAAGATGTTTTGAATTTTTATGTATTTTTGCCTTGTCGTGAAGTGAGAACGTAATTAATTGAATGAGAAATACATGAAAATCAAGAAATGAATGAAATTCGAGAAAGTAAGTTTAAATAAAATGCAACAAAAAATCCGCGTCATTTAATAGGCCATACAAGGAAGTCATGTGCTGTACACTTCAAATTTTTTATTGAAAGCTTAGTAAATTCATTAAATCACATAATTTAGCAATTTATTTCAAACTTTAAAACAAAAAATTTGTATTTTATTATTTTCCATTAAAACTTAACAGAACTGCAAATTCTAATTTATTTAATTTTTGTTTCAGAAGGATAATTTCTCATTAATTTATTTCTACATTTGTTTCAGAAAAAATGAATTTCGCCATTTATTTCCTCTTGAGTGTCACGGGCTTAACACTCGCTAGGGCCAAGATTCCTTTAGAACTCGGCAAGATGCTTGGATTGAATTCCACTACAGAAATTTCTAACGATGAAGTTAATCCTTCAGCCGTAAGTCATTTTCTAACATCTCATTAGTACTAGAAACAAATGTTCACTATTGTTGTAACCGGTTTCTATTATCCATAAATAAACTTATACATTTTGTGAATAATTTCTATATGCCAACAACTATTCGTAGAAATAATTAGTTATTTTAAAATAAGATAAGTTTCAAATATTTACCCAAGAAACAAAGTTGCCACGTTCTACATATCTCTTCGTAATATAAATAGGCTATCTAGTAAAGTCTTGCTCTGCTATTCCTGAGATACATAAAAATACAGTGCCAGTTGAAAAGTTGCATCACCACTTCGCAGCTGTTTAAGTTAATACTCATGTGCATGTATCAAGTGATCGGTTCTTTATTTAGACCTCATACATCTTCTGCCATAATTATGTGAAAAAACAGTAGCCTTAGATTGTTAGCTTATAACTGGTCTGGTGAAATATTCATGAGTATAATTTTATAATTGGATACTACAAATCGGTGGTCTCAAACTTAAATTGTATTCGGGCCGAATGCAGGATTTAAAAGCTGCTTGGGAAAGATTTGTTTTTATCAAAATTAAAAACTTTTAAACATCAAAACAAATAATCGATTTTATTTCTAAAAACCACGATTTTTTTTTTCTATTCACATATAACCACGAAAGCTATATTTTAGTACATTCAATAGAAAAGCGTTTTTACAGATTGTTAAATTCTGATTTTATTATTTGCTCATCGGGAACGGCGTCCAGTGTTCAGTTCTCCAGAATGGACCGAAACTTTTGAGTAGTTTTGTAGAGACATTAGGTATTTTTGGAAAAGCCGGAGAGATGAAAAATTAGCAACCGCCTTCACCGGGAATCGAACCACGAACCTCTAGAATATCTGCCTAGCTTGCAGAACCACTACACCCCGAAGACACGCCAAGAAAGTGGGAGAAATACCTTATATACTCCCCCTTTTAAAGGGCGACTAGGGTTTTCAGGGGACCCAATCGCCAAATCCTGAGTGGGAAGAAATCATCCTCCGCCACCTTTTTAGTTCGGGCGCCACTGTAGAAACACTAGGATTTTTTTGGAGGCCGGAGTGATGATAAATTAGTAGCTGCCTTCGCCGGGAATCGAACCATGGACCTCTGGAATACCGGCCCAGCGTGCAGAACTACTACACCACGAAAGCATGCCAAGAAAATGGGAGAAATACCTTATAGTTTCAATGTACATTTCATCGATTTGAGAATTTAAAAAGCATTAAGTATGGGTTTTCAGCGCAACATTTAAGGAAAGCTTTTTAAGATTTTTTTTATAAATTAAAAAAGACCTTAAAATAGAGTAAGTCTGTTCTCACAGAAGATAAGAAGTATAGCTAAAAGAAATTGAATCCCAATAAAATTAAATTTCAATTTCTGAAATTTCCTTTTCCTAAACATGATTTTTTTCCCCAAATAATGTGCTTAGTACATCATTGGGAAACAATTCTCGATTAGAACAAAGGCATTTGTTCTAATCGAGAACTCTACTCCTTTGTAAAATGCAAATATTGGCGAATCAATTGAATGTCTAAGCTTTTCACAATTTCGTTCGTGTTTTCAACATTTTTCTGGAGTGCTTCTCATTTTACTTTAAGAATTTCAAATACACCTTTTATTTTAATTAATGTAAATAAATCAGTGGGATATTTTGCCCCATGATTATGGTTTGGTTTATCTTATGTGATTATGACCAAGCCTCGAGGGCTATCTGCCTAAGGGGATAAATGCCTTCGTGCAGAACTTTCTAGGGGAAATTGTCTCGTATACACGTTGCGTATGGCGAAAAACATGAAAACTTCCATACAGCCAGCCCGTTTGCGGTATTTGAACGTCGGACCAAATTACCAGTGTTCAGCGACTTTCACAGTTTGGCCAATGGTGAGGGGATCATAGAATAAATAAAAATTTAAATAAAGTGAATAAAATTTGTTCTTATCACAAGAAATAAAACAAATTGCTGAAAGTTTTTTTTCACAGATATTCGTACAATATCACAATATCACACAGTAATTAGTAGTTATATTTTAAATTACTAAAACCTTAAGTAGAACACAATTCAAAGCGCAGAGAAAGCTACTCCGATCTCACCGTGAATTCGCTATAGTAAACAACAACAGTTATCTAAACAACTGACCTGAGATGCTTTTCTCGAGCTTTTATAAGCTTTTTAATCAGACACGAGAAGCTTCTGTTAATTTCTATTTTCGAGGTTTCTGGAAAGCAAAAGCAGTTAGGAGATATCTATTTATTAAATGCGCGTGCTTCTGTATTTTTACTTTTTCGGCGTAGAATTGTAAGTATTATGAGCACTGTTTTGGTGGTTTATCTTTTGTACGGTACGCAATTCTTTTGGATCGAATCTCTTAAAACTTATCACGCGGTGCATTGCACTGGAAAGTGAAACAACTTTAATTACAGTTCTACTAAAAATAGCAAACTTAATACAAAAACCCTAACAATATGATAATGATAATAACATATCTGTGTTATTTCGATATTAAGAATGGAAGCTGCGGTTTTCGTCAAGAAATAAAATATCAAAGGCGAGCCCCAGGTAAAACACTAAACAGCAAAATAACTCAGCACATTCGATACAAAAGAACTGCATACCGTACAAAAGATAAAACACCAAAACAATGCTCATAACACTTACAATTCTGTGCTGTACGTAATTGTACAAAACAGAAAAAAACGTGCTGGAAATTTATTATAAAACAATGGATTATCAGCTGCATTTGCCGAGAAACTAGTGAGTATTTATTATTTGAAAACAGAAATACAAATTTTAAGGGAGGTAGTTACAGATAACATGGCCCAGAGACCAATAATTCTCATATATTCTTGGAAAGAGTAATCAACGAAATAGTGGATCAAAATGTCATTGGACATACTTTATTATCGACAAATTTCTTGGTGCCGAAAAAATCACTGCCAAGAAGATGTGAGCTGGTATAACCGAAAAATACCGAAAATTTTATCTGATGCCAGTTACCTATAATATTCAGGTTTTAGTTACATTTCTGCACAACACAGAGCAAGTAATGTTTTTAAACTTCAAATTAGATTCTACCTTTCCCCATTTCTACGTAACGTTCGAATTTCCTTGGGATCTAAATTGAAAATAGACTTTATTGCTCAAGTTATTGATTTTTAGAAATTCACTGCCGAATTTTGTCGACTTTCTTTTTCTAACTTTCTTTAAACTTTCCACTAGATCTTATTCAATGAAGATTCATTGTTAAACCTAAAATGCACAGTGTAATGAACATCCAGTTTTCAGTTACTTTGAATCTAAAGTTAGTTGGATAAAGAGCAATTTTTATAACTTCGAATGACGAGAACTTCTTATTATCTAAACTAAATGATTCGTTCAAACATACTGCCGTTCAAACATACTGCCGTGCAAGTTTAATATATTTAAATTTTCGGGAAAAAAATGCTCGACGTATTCTATAAAAATAAAATTAAGAAAAGAAGTCAGGCTACAAATAAAATGTTCAGTCACAAATGTACTAAAATAATTAATCTTTATATTTTAATTCAGTCTCACTGAATTCGAAATTGATAAATAAGATATTGAAATTAAATGAAAAAATTTTTTCAGAAATCTAAAAGACTCTAGAATTAAATATTTTGATATTAGAACTCGCGCCTTTCGAAGCACATTTGACTTAACTTTTGAGCAGGATATAACTTTAGCCCCTAGTTGAAAATGCTTTGTTTTCGACTACTTTTCTAAAATTTAATAATAGGTTTATTTCTATAAATGATTCAAACTATGAAATGTGTTTCACTTATATAAAAAGAACGCCTTTTTTAAAGTATTAAATCATGCTTGTAAGTGTGCAAGAAGTATTAAATCATACGTGATCCTTTCTAATAGATAAGACATTATTCCTCTTGCAACACATTTCGAATAACAAGCATGCTTATTTGCATCATAAATATACGTAGGCAAGTCAAAAATTATCTACACTTTAGTCATAATCTTTCTTACACTGCCTACTTTGTCTTCTGTTCTCGCATATTTTATTGTTGTGATAATACCCTCCCCCGAGGGGTTACTCAGGCGAAAGCCTGGGAAGTACTGGTTAGGATCCGTACCTAGGCAGTCTCAACCACGGGGGTAAAATAACATACTTCACAGAAGGCCTGAGGGCTCTCGGGACAGAGTAAGGCTCGGCAGGGACCGTACGGGTACTGACTTGTCTGCCCTTGCTCTGTGGAGTCGCAACATGGTAGATTGTTAATATGGCGGTGTGGCACTTAACATGGTAGATTGGCGCCTTTTGGGCAGCCTTAGGACAGAAGCGGTCCCGTCCATCAGCGTTGTTGTGGTATGCTGTGAAAGTTTGATCTTAATTCCTCCATTTTACTTCCTTCTGTTACAGACATATCATGGCTGCTCCATTAGAAGTTTGCACCAAAGAGGAACAACGAGCAGTGATCCGATTCTTCTGGTATCTTCTTCTGGATATCAAAGGCTCAAACATTCATCGCAATTCTACCACTTAAAAGTGGTAGAACAAGTGTAACGTATGAAGAGGGAGCAGGGCGGCTATCAACTTCCAGTACAGATGACCACATTCAGCAAGCTCGAGAGATGGTTATGGCGATTAGGCGAATCACTATCCATAAGGTAGAATCTGCTTGGAAAATCAGTCATGGCCCTGCCCATCAAATCATCACTGCTCGTTCTTCCTCGTTGGTGCAAACTTTTAATGGAGCACCCATCTTATATCTGCAGCGGAAGGAAGAAAAGTGGAGGAATTAAGATAAAAGTTTCACAGCATTACCACAATAATATAACGATAAAATATGAGAGGACAGAAGACAAAGTGCGCAATGTAAGAAAAGTTATGACAAAAGTGTAGATAATTTATATCAGTTATTTCTTGGAAATGATATCAAATATTCAATTTCGTTTAGGAACGCTCGTTTCAAGATGGACTTGTTGGCATTTTCAGCACTGTATTAAGCGGAGATCGGAACGTGCATTTTGATAATATCAAAAGCCCCAAAATGCTTTCTGCAGCTCGTGACGCTGAAACGGTAACCTCAGTTGAAGATGCCATGAGAAATTTTAAGACTGGACATGTTGAACATTACACACCTTCACCAGTCGGAAATACAGAATGCTACGTTGAATATCATGTGGTAAGTATATCTCTAGAAATGTGAACTTTCTGCTTAACTAACTTAATTTCTAAGCTAGAAAATCGGAATTCGATGAAAAGAAGTTTCAATGCAATCTTTCATGTGCTTGATTCCTTTTTTTTTCCAGCGTTTAGAAATGTGAGCTTCTGAATAAATTTATATGCATAAAGTAATGATTTGGATATAACACCCATGGCTTAAGCATCCTAATTAGTGTTTACTTTTCGTTCAATACTGAAGTTCTAAATGCAACTATTTTAATTCATATGACTGTTCGTAGCTTTCAAAGATCATATTTTTGTATTTCATATATTGTTAACCTTCAATTCGTAAATAATCCGAGAAATCAGAGTATCATATTATGTCTAATGAATAGTCTATCTACAATGAAATACATAGTTTTCTGTAGCTTGTTGATTATCAAGGAAGATAACGAGCGCCATTTTATACTTAAATTTTTAATTTATTTTATTAAACTAGCGGAAGTACCCCATGCCAGTTAAGTTAGATTGAGAGTAATGCATCTAACAATAGAGAGAACGGTACCGCTGTAATCCTTCTCTAAGAACGATGTAAAAAAGTAAGATTCATAGTCATATATTTTTCAATTTGATGCGTTATAGAAGCCACATAAAAAATTTCGATAGAAAAATAAGCTAATTCTCTCTCATTATATCAGCAACAATGGCACGCAGTTTTTAAAGATTTTCGTCTTTCTAATCAAATGGTCGTAAGGCTCAAGTTCCATCCAATATTTCACCTATATTCAATTTTATTCGATTACATGGGGCAAAATATTTATCATAATTGATCAGAAACTAATAACGCGAACGAACAAACACACAAACAGACATTCTTCTTTATATGTGTAGATTTTGTAAAATTTACAAATTTTTGATTAACAAACTCTATGATTTGAAAGCGAGCTTTAGCAACACTTTTCGAAATAAAGTTTTATTAAGATTTTTAACTCCAACGCTCAGCACTGTTGCCACTTGGAAAAATGAGTGAGAAAATTAGTTCTTCCAGAGTTTTTAATTAATATTTAGGCTGATTAAAGTCGTACGAACAGGGAAATAGCCGAAATGGCTTCCCACAAATTTTTGGGATCGGGAGTGATGTATTTAATGTTTGGCAATGCTATTTTTATTTCATTGTAAAACTTAGAAAATTTTTATTAACAAATTCTAGGATTTGAAAGCGAGCAGTGGCAACAAGTTTCGAAAGAAAGCAGATTTTCATCCCCAGCTTGTGAGACTGTTCCCACTGAGAAAAATGAGGGCAAAAATGATCGTTTTTCCGAGTTTTTAATTAATATAGCTAATATTAGCTAATTTTTTTTAAAGTGTGGACGTCGACCTTTTCCAGAACCCAGAAAATAATCGTAGAAAGTTTGGCGACGATAGCTATAGTAGTGACGGAGTTATTAGAGGACAGACAAACATACTTTTTCCTTTATAAATATATAGAGATAATTTATTATATATTTCAAATATGCATGCAATAGTTATGAATTATATGACCATTGAACTCAGCCATACCATTTACATAAAATAACAGTTTAACCTTAATTAATATAATCAATCTTCAAGATCAATGATACTTAATTATTTTATACCAACACATAAAGTGTAGTATACCTGCATATTACTGAAACAAACTTAAGGATCGCTTAAAATATTTTGACATTCGCAGTAATGAAAATATGTGAAAATGAATCTGTTCCTGCATCTTTTGGAAGTTTAACCTGCAACACTGGATGCACTTTTAAAATGCCATATTCTGAAACCACTTTTAAGATCAAAGCGTTAGTCTTCTCTGAATTTGTTCAAAATCTGCTGCTGCTTTATCAGATGAAGAACATTCATCAACGGAAATAAAAAACAAAATTCTTGAATTTAAATCAGAGCGAAAATAATAGCTACGGTAGAAATACAGTAGGCTCTTGCATCTGAGCAAGTGAGCCTATTATTGCAGTCCCCAAAACATCGGATTTGTATCTCATTTGGACCAATATTCAAACAGATCAGTCAGGTAAACACTCGTGTTGCTACGTATGGAAATCCGAAAGTTTCCAACTTGATATAATTCTAAAAGAAATAGAGTAAATGTTAATAATTTATTTTTGAGAAACTTTGTACCCCTGAAAAGGTAATCGGTAAAAATATATTTTAAGGTGCCTCTTGCCGAAAACTGGCGATTTTTGGAGATTGGTCAGCAAGGCACAATTTCAAGATGGCCGCTACAGAAAACCAAAGTAACAAGTCAAAGAATTACACAAACTTGGTGTCCATGTACATATCGATCTATTTTCACTTTAAAAACATAAGAGAATTGTACAAACGACACCCCCCCTTGACTTCGTCCATGTACACATCGATCTATTTTTCACTTTAAAAAAAAATCAGGATGATGACGACGTCAACGTTAAAACGAAGTTAGTCATTACCAAAACTGAAGAAAATTTGTAGTCAATCGAAGCTGAATCAACTGCATTTTAAATCACACAATGAAATAATATAAAAAAGGAAATACATGTTATCGTATAAATATACTACAAAAAGGAGTTATTGACATATCATATTTAGAAATTTCTGTGTCTTCAGTCTGTGGGACACAAAATTCCTCAACTTCGGTTTCCGAATCCTTAAATGTAACTGCGTTATTTGCTGAAAAATTAACGAAGCCATTATCAAAAAGACTATCATACGACTTCTAATAGTTGGATATGATCGTTTTTCCAAAGTATTTCGTTGAATTACATCCAACGAAGTTTCTTTTCTTCTGTCCTCAACCACTTCGAAAATAAACCTCCGCTCTCTCGTTTTATACCACCAAACACCCTGTTTACCACCGGCAGCCATTTTACAATGCAAAGCACATACGCAACGTACTTCCTAGCTGACATTCAACGCAGAAATAAGCTTTTACAAATATTTTTTCCATCAGTCAAATGCACCGCAATAAAGCAACCAATCACGTGATAATAGCGTTTCCATAACATTCAACTACTCAGGTTACCATAAATGAAACAACAATTTGGCAATAAATGAAACAACTTGGCCATAATCCAAGGGGCACCCTAAAATGTAGACTAACCAAGAAATCTGACGATTTGTTCTTAAAATATTCCAAAACTGATTACAGTTAAACTTCTTCCCGCAAAGGACGGATCTCAGTTTCGAAGAATAAATAATAATCACTTGAAGCTAAAATTTGAACTGACAATTTAGGGGCTGCAAAATTTTAAGAATTTAGGGAAGATCGCAAAGCACTCGAGGGTAATCTGTCTAAGGAGAGGAATACCTTCGTGGGCAACATTTTGAGGGAAACTGGCTCATGTTACACATGCGGAAAACCATGCAAAAGCCCATTCAGCCACCCCGTCCGCCAGAATTCGAACCACGGACTGAATACCAGTGTTCAGCAACTTTACCGATCGGCCACTGGTGGACCTAAGCAAAATTAAAGAGCTCTAGAGATTACACCGGAAGACAAAATGTCTAACTCCGGTCTTGAGTATTTCAAAACTTCTTTGAGTGCTTTATGTATGTATACCATGACTTTGAAACAATGCAATAAATCAAAACCAAATTAAGAGCTCATCGTATTTGTAAATCCATTCATTTGATTTGAAAAAAAAAAGTGCGTTTTGTTGTGTACGTTTTATGTAACTAAATCCATTTTATCCATTACAGACGCACAGAGCTCCAGGACGATGTATCAGACTAGGAGGCAGGATACCTGCGTGCCAGAGTGATGAATACCTCGATATTAATCACAGCGAATGTAACTGAACATTGTATTGGAGACCATGAATACCGTATAGTATAAGCACCTATTTCCTGGTCTGTATTTAAAATGATTAACTCTTGGAACTCTTTATGCATCTGAATCACTCCAGATCATCTAAGGATTTCATATTTTACTTATCGAAGCTATATGATATGTTAAATATCGTATTGTGTCTGCATTAGTAATATTTATTTCCGAAGTTAAACTAAGCATTAGTTTTTCAGTTCATTGTGCTTAGGTCTTTATTGACATGAAAGCCTGTATAAATTTAAAATAAATGTCTGTGTCGTAGTTCTGGGTTTCGAGCTCTGAATTTTTTTAAATAAACTGAATTGTCTATATTTGAATTAAAACCTTATTCAGTTATGCACTGAATATGTTTTGCAATTATTCAGACTATAAAAGTTATAAATGTAAAGCCCATAAAGCTGAATGAATGAATGAATTAGCTATTCGTTGCAATACCTATAATAATGATTCCAATTATATCCCAAACTAGTTAAATGAGTTTCATATTTATTAAGCTAATACAGAATTTATGTAAATAAAATGGTAAATGAATCAATACAGAATTAAAGACTTCCAAAAATAAAATTATGAAATTGTAATATCTTATGCACTGAGTGATTACAGGAGAAAAAATTCCGTATATCAAAACCTTTTGAAATATTTTTATAAGCACATTTTATTTTATATGCATGTTAACGAACCTAATTCGACATATTTTTGAGATCCAATGAGAGAGCTATGCTATCAAGTTAAAGATTGAAAAAAAAAATTCTTATGACGACACCATATGACTTCCTTGTACGGCCTATTAAATTATACGCGTTTAATGCTGAATTTCATTTAAACTAATTTCTTCGAATTTCATTCGAGATAGATTTCTTATTCAATTCAGTTCTCATTTTGTGGCAAGGCAAAAATACATAAAAATTCGTACATGAAACTAACATAGAAACACACACACATACATACATTGTAAGGATCTTAAGTTTTACTAACGTTTATTTTATTTTAAATCTTTACTATCACTTCTTATTTTCTACTTCCGGCCAGAATTATAAGCGTGAAGGTATTTATGCAAAGTTTGTCTGGCGAACGCCAAGTATTTAAGTTGTGGCTTTTGCCAAGCGAGAGAGAGGAAGCAGTGAGTCGAAGCAGGCCGCTTGCCTTAGAAGTTTTACGCAGCTGCTTGTTGCCTTCCAGGCCAGAGGTTTTAATCCTCTTGATAAATTGTAAACGTATTGTAGTGTTCACAGTTCGCTGTACTACATACGCTTCCTGTTAATATAAGGCCAATCTTCCACGTTTATTATTTTAAAGTTAAATTAGAGTTTAGTTCTATTTTTATATTTTACGTTAGACCCCAAGTAGCGGGTCTGTGTATTCCGAAGTACGGAAGTTATTGTAAATAGAGAAAAAATAAAGGGTTTTGTATACCCTTCTTGTGTATCCTGTCTACTTCCCACAATTAGTGAACATAGCTTTAGTAAGCTCTCTGTTCCGAGTCAGGTCCTTGCATGTTCCCGAAGAAGGTAAGAAGGAACATTGATCCTGATAGTGGCGCCCAACGAAGAAGAATAACCTTGGCCGAGTTTCAAGAAGAACCTGTGCTGCCTGCAGAAACGGCTCAGAATCCAGAAATGCCAGCTGCCGCCCTGGAAGGATTTGGTTACATCGTCCAGACCATGCGCGCTTCGATGAAACCAGAAGCAACATTTAATGGAAACTCACCGGTAACCAGTTTTTTGGAAAAATTGGATGACCACTTCATGCTCTACCCCGTGCACGAGTTTCAAAAAGTTACCTTAGCTACCAGCGCTTTGAAGGGCCAAGCGCTTAACTGGTTCAAATGTATAGGTAGAAGTCTCTTGGGTCAAGCAGGAAGTCCCACCTATACTTACGAGAATTTCAAGACTGCCCTACTAAAAGCCTTCCCTGTTGTAAGGGATCGTGTGAAATTAGAAACGGAACTTTTCAGTATATATCAGCAAAGAATCGAAAACCTCTCAAGCTTTATTTTAAGAAAAATTCACGTCTTCAAGCTCTTGTATGGAAACCGTCCGGATCCTGAAATAATTCAAGTGATTTTGCCGAGGTTACTGCCCCAAGTGCAAGACTTTATTGAATTAGAAAATCCGACTACACTGGAAAAAGTTATTTGAGCTAGCAATCCAGTTTGAAAGTAGAAGAACGGCGGACGTCGAAAGAAGACGCCAATATCAACAGCGAAATCAATTTGGTGCGCCAAGACTACAAGCAAACTCAAGCACACGGCTACGGAGGCAAAAGCGAATCAGTGGGCAAGGAAAACCGAGATTCAAAAACAGCCGGCGAACGTCGACAGTTCAACAGGAACCCAGGAAAAAAGTCTCAAGGCCAGTGGAAAAAGAAGGAAAGCATGGAAACAAAAAAAGGATTTAAAACTAAAAACGGATTTCTGCTGACGGGAGGGTGCGGAAATCGGAAGGCCACGAAAACCCCTCTTCCTACAAGTTTTTAGTACAGTAATGGTGAAAAATCTGACTCTTCCGAAGATTGAAGTGTTGGTGAATAATATCCCAGCCACCGCACTCCTGGATACAGGCGGGCGCGCAGTGTTCCTGTGTGGCAGAAGATTTTTTTAGGAAGTATTTTCGTAAATATCGCATATATAATTCGGATAATACGACAGTGTTAGCTGCGCAAGGAGAAAGATGTAAGTGCATAGGTAAATTACCACTATACATCCGTATCAAGGACGAACAAGTAAAGGTGATGTTTTTTATAGTAAAGAATCTGCAAGCACATATAATCTTAGGAATAGATTTTCTTTCAGACGCACAAGCAACACTGGATTTTAATGAAGCGTCCCTTAAGCTGACAATGAAACCAGTTCGTGCAGAAAAGGCTGAACCGCCCATGTTAAATCTTGACCACCTACCTAATGACGAGCAAGGAAGAATCCGACAAGTGGTAAGTGAATTTGCTTCGTTATTTAGTGATATTCCAGGATTTACTCAGGTTACTAACCATAGTATTGACACCGGAGATTCAATGCCAGTTCGTCAAAAACCATACCGGTATGATAAGAATAAGGAAAAAATTATTATAGAATGGCATATTACCGATATGCTACGTAAAAAGATCATAATAACGCCCATCTCAAGTAGTTATGCTAGCCCGGTGGTTTTATGTAAGAAAAATATGACTATCCTTTGACGCATCCAAAAAGGTGGAGATTCGCTATTGATTACCGTAAATTAAACTCCATAACTAAATATCCGGTATATCCTCCGTTACCGATCATTGAAGAAATTCTAAGGAACATAAAATCAACCAAATTTATGACGACTTTAGACTTAACGACTGGTTATTTTCAAATAGGGGTTTAGGCCTGAGGACGTGCCTAAGACTACTGCTTTTATAACCAAGTCTGGCACTTATGCATTTTTGCGTATGCCGTTTGGCCTTTCAGGGGCCCCGGCAACATTTCAGCGATGTATGGACATTGTGTTAAGACCTGTTCTTGGAAAGTCCACATTTATCTATTTAGACGATATCATTATTACTAGTGATAATCTCGACCAACATGTACAGGATTTAAGACAGGTGTTTTCTTTATTAAATGAGGCCGGTCTAAAAGTTAATGTCGAAAAGTGCAAATTTGCAGCCCCTGAATTAAAATATTTAGGTTACAAAATACCTCAGAAAGGAATCGAGACAGACGAATCAAAAATAATCGCTGTGCAAAAGTATCCGCCTCCAAACATGGCGAAGAAGCTCTCTTCTTTTCTAGGACTTAGTTCATATTATAGGTCCTTTATAAAAGATTTTGCGGCTATCGCTGAGCCCATTGTTAAAATTAAAAAGGAAAAAGGCAAGATTCTCGTGGACGGCCGAAGCCAATAGTGCTTTCGAAAAATTAAAACAAGCATTAACGCAAGCCCCTGTGTTGAAATTTCCTGAAAAGGATGAGAATTTAGAAATTTCAGCGGATGCTTCGGATTATGCGGTAGGAGCGGTACTTTCGCAAAATCAGCAGCCCGTGGCATTTTTTTAGCCGAACTTTAAATCAAACACAAAGAAACTATTCCGCGACCGAGAGAGAGGCACTTGCAGTTCTGTTAGCAGTGCAAAAGTTCCGAGTCTATTTTGGAAAGGCGCCAATAACAGTGTACTCTGATCATGCTGCGGTAACTAGATTGTACTCAGGGAAAAATTTATCCCCAAGGTTAATAAGATGGGCACTCAAGCTGCAAGAATATAATCTGGTAATCAAGCATACCCCCGGAAAGGAAAATTATCCGTAGTTATGTTAAAAATTTTCATAAAAGCTGGGATAACTATGTCAATGAATTTGCTTTCGCCCTTAGGACCGCAAAACATGATACAACGGGCAAAACTCCTGCTGAGTTTTTTCTAGGCAGAAAGATTATAACGCCGTTAGATAAATTATTTTATGTGCAACAAAGAGCCCCAGAATTTAAAATGGGTGATATAGAAAAACTAATTAAGGAAGCAAAGAAGAATACTGAAGTAGCACAGAGAAAACAAAATTATATTACGACTTGAAACGACGGGGAGTAACTTATAAAGTAGGGGATGAAGTTTTAAAAAATTAAGCATTCACTTTCTTCAGCACCAGAAGATAAGACTGCCAAATTTTTTTCCACGATTTGAAGGACCATATGTTATATAAAAAATAACTCACGCTGTAGTACTGTTAAAAGCCAGAAATGGTGAAACCTGCTCCGCAAACATTGATCAAATCAAACCCTACTTCGATCGTAATAAAATGCAAATATTTCAGATCTTTTGCAGGATCCGGCACGGCAGACACCGCAGGCACAAGCTCCAGAGGTGGAAAAAACGACAAGTACAAGGGCAAGCCATTAAGAGGCAGGAGCAAGTGAAAAGAAAATTTCCCCGCGGAAAAAATTGAAGGTAGCAAGAAAAAGAAGCCGTTCCACCGTCCAGAAAAGAGAGTTCACGAACACCCCCAGAATGAAGAAGGGAGAAGAACGACGGATGTGAAGAGAACCAGGAGAAATGACGGCAACTATAACCCGGCTCTAAAACGGAAGATCTACTCATCCGACAGGACTCTCCGCAGCAAATGCCGCCGAACTGCGGAAGGGCCATCAGCGGCGGAGGAAAAGTTACAAGGAAAATTTGAACGGCCAGCAACGAGGTCCATCAGGAACACGACAGAAGTTTCCCGGTTCCGCCAAGACCAGCTGCCATCAAACGGCCAAGACCACAAGCAGAGGAGAAAAAGAAGGTATTCAAGGGTGACCGAACTGGTGAAA